CCTCCCCACCGCCCGACCCATTGGGTTTAGTTTTTAATATTCTCAGCGCTTTGCACTGCTTGTCTAGAGAGGGAAATTGAAGGCACCGAAGATCAGACCGCCCGGCTCCATCCTTTCTCTCGCCAAGTTTTCTCGCCGCTTTCTTGCCGGTCCGGACTCAACGCGGATTTTTCAGCGGGGCTTTCCGAGCGAACCCGCAAGCGTGGAAACGCAAGCACACGCGTGCGCGCGCGTTGAGCTAGGCGCGCCTTTTCCTTGGCTCTCCCTGACACCCCCAGCCCACCTCTCCGACAGCCACCCGCATGGCCCCCAAGCCTCGCCTGTTGCCCCCCACCCCACCCCACACACAAGTCGGAGCGGGGGGGGGGAGGCGTCTTACCTTCGCTGAGTTTAGGAGTGTCCGCGTCCCGATTCCTGTCGACGGCGCCCATGTCCAGCTCTCGCACCGGCGATCGCCTTCCCGAGCCGCCGCTTCCACCAGCTCCCCGGGCCGCCGGGCTGCCGCTCTCCTCCGCGCTGGGCTCGTTGGAGCCTCCGGACTCCTTAGCTCCCCTGAGGGGTCCGCTTTCTAGCACCTCCCTGTACGTGATCAGCTCCTTCTTCTCTTTCACTTTCTGATCAAACGACTTGGAGACAAAAGCGGTAAGTTCTTCCATCGCCGGCTCTTCTTTGGGCTCTTTTTTTCTCCCCCTCGTTCGCCTCCTCTGGCTGCTCCGAGCCCCCCAATAAACACATCAAGGGGGTCGGGAGGAGGGGGAGGGGGAGGAGAAGGAAAAAAAAGGGGGGGGGGGGGGGTGGGGAAGGGAGAGAAAAGCCGCAGAGGGGGCTGGCTGGAGCGTTAAATGGAAGCGGAGGTTTCCCAACCCCGAGCGAAGCTTGTAAAAACCGGCCTTTGACAATTCTCCCCGCGAAGAGTTCTGATCTGTCTGGGCTTCGGTGATTGAAGTCCCCACTATTTATACTTTGCAGAGCCAACCCCTCGTTTGGAGCAAATAACCTCCCCTTTGGTACTGGGAATGAACCCCCTTCTCCTAGAGCAGCCCAGGCGCACCGCCGAAAGAGAAAAAGAGCCAGGCGGGGAAGGGTGGGGGGTGGGGGAGAGGGAGAAGTTCTCCCTCCCCCACCCCTACCCCGCCCCTCGCCCCCTTTCCAGATCCAGCTGCTGGGCTTTCTCTCTCTCTCTCTCTGCCATTAATCCAGGATTGACAACAAGCCCTAATTAATTTAATTAGGCACGGATCCTGCGCTGGTGTGTCCCGAGTTAGTTAAACGCTTGGGGGAAAGGGGCTGGATCTGCAGGGGAGGGGCTGAAATGAGGAGTCACCCGGGCGGGCGGGCGGGTGACTGCCAGAAGGGAAAGAAGAGCGCTTGGGCTAAACGCCTCCTGGAAGCGCTCCGGGTCGACAAGCCAGCGAGGGGCGCGACTGGCCCCCGCTTGCTGGAAGAAGACCTCGCCAAGCCCGAGACGGACCCTCTCTTGAAACCAGACCTGCCTCTCTTGGGTCGGCTCTCCCTCATCCCAATGCCCGGATCCGCGGCTCTTGACCTCGGGAAGAGGCAGAGCTCGCTGCTGGGGAGAGCGGTCTGTAGGGCAAGCCCCAAAGCAGTGGCTCCCTTGAGAGCCGTGCCCCGAAGGCTTCCAGGCAGCGAGCTTAAGACGGCTGCAACAGTTGTGGCCGATCGGGCACTCGGAAGGTCGTGGGGTGGTGGAGGGAAGCAAACAAAAGAGGCTCATTTTCTGGCAGAATTAGCCCACCGGGCATCCACCCATCCCCAATTTTGCCCCGTCCACTCATTGATACTCCATCCCTTGTACGTCCACAATTGCAGTTGGGTTCATTCTCCAGTTAAGTTCACTGCCTTCGGGTTTGCCACAGTCACTGACACCCGACTGAGCAACCCCGGTCCCCCTCCAGATTATCACTGCACTAGTTTTACTAGGAAAGAAGTCCAGTTTGTCTCTTTTTGATAATAAAGTGTCATCCAAGCCAGGCGTGATACTTGGTGAGGTTCATGAAGTTTTCTTGGCAACAGAAGGCAAGGCAGCCACAGCATTTTTCCTACCAGCTCCCCTTTTAGCTTATTGCCTTGGGATTCCCTGGTGGTCTTCCATCCAAATACTAACCAGATGTCACCCTGCTTGATGTTGCCGAGGCCTTCTTTTTTGGTACTATTTGATTATAGTACCAGATAGTCTCCAGATTGAAAATTCAAAGAGTATAAGATTCTCATTTTGGGAATTTTTTAACTGGGAGATGTAAGGGAAAAGGAGTCATATTTTTGACTTGCTGGTGAGGGTAAGGGTTAAAAGGGGAGAAAGTATTATCACTTGTATAATTGCAACATGAGTTAATGGGATCATTTGAGAGAATCTGGATTTACCATCCATGAATAGGCAATCATTAGATGCAAGCCCATGTTCATTTTTTTTAGTAAGAACAAGTGCCCCTGACACTTTCTTTGTGTAAAGAAATAGGGAGAGGTGAGGTTCCATTCCCAATTCCTATGGGGAGGGACGAAGGGATATGAAAGTCTCATGGGAGTAAATTGAAAGCTTCTGAGAATTATATTGCCCAGAAAGGTGTTTTTTTTTTTTTGCATACTCCAGGAATCCTAAGCGGTATCTAAAAGCCAAATTGAAATGCTCATTGCTATTTGGCTCCCCTCCCTTGATTAGTACATTTTTTTGTTTAATACTCAGAATGCAAAGTTTTCCATTTGGTTGGAGTGATTCCAAATATTTTCTACATTATTTTATATTGAGATATATATTACCCCTTTTCTCAGCTAATGTAATATTATAAGCAACATGTATATTATATGGAATCAAGGCATCTAAACGTGTTTTAGATCCAGAAGGTAAAAGTTAAACTTTTAAATACTTTATTAGAAAATTGTCAGAATATCTTATACGCTTTATGGCTTTCAATTAAGTGCTCTTATTCAGATGAATGTGGTGATACAAACTCCTAGAAAACCACAGAATTATGAGTAACTTATTTTATAGACTAGATAGAAATTGCTTCTCACTGAACAAGTAAAAAAGAACAATATGAATATAATTCTATTTGGAAAGTAGAAATATTAACTCTGGAATCTTAAAGGCATCTCTTGAAAATCACCATCTATTCAAGTTCAAAGATATCTTGAGAAATGAATGGGGGCTCCGGATACCAATTCTTATAAAAGCTTTCTATAGTAAATTCTTTTTAAACTAATCCTGGTGTTTCTTTCTTTTTCAGTGACAATGACAGGATTTAATTCAAGTTCCCTACATCTCCAGATAAGCTCTAGTGTACATTCCTTCACTGCATTAAAGAAAATTAATATATGGAGACAACTTTCCAGTAAAGTGACTCTGACAGTGTCATTTAATTACTGAATGAAAATAAATAGGCTTCTATTTAAAAAATAAAACAAACTATGGATTAATGCATTAATTTAAAATTATTTTTAAATACATAAAAAAAGAAATTGTATAATTTTATGTTGGAAATGTGTTCAATGAATTGAGGAGTCTATACAAAAATTGCAGATGTCAAACTGGTGAGAGCTAGAAATTTCTGTTTTACATTAGTAAAATTGCAAAATAACCTTTCCACTGAGGTTAATTAGGAATTAAAACAGAAATGCTTCCAATCTATCAATTCAATCAAATATATGTAGTAGTACTTCTGACTTGGACATTAAGGTGTAAATGCAGATATCCAATTTAGTAATTAATTCTGCGTTTAGTGAGGGTTACTTCAGAGAAGCATGAATACAGGTGTAGCATTAGTGCAATTTTGCCTATGTTCACTAAGAGTTGACATTTAGTTCTCAGGACTGAGTTATTCCCAGAGAAATGAATATAAGAATGCCATTTGAACCCGAAGCTCTATAACATTTCCTTATGTATCATTGATTTAAATATTTCACTTTTGAGCATACCTATGCAGTGTAAATTAACTATTGTCAGAAACAGATTGTTTGCTCTTCTGCAAATCCAAGTAAGTTGAATGTGAAATGTACAAACATGGTTAGTTTCACAACCAAAACCTGAAAACGGATTTGTGGCTTTCAAATGTTTAAACTTGAACCTTGACATTTGAACGTGGATTGGTCTGCATTTAATGTAGATAGTTTATTTCTAAGATCATGATTGGTGAGAGGAGGTAGTGGTGGACCAAAGAGCAGAAAACCAGGATCTCCATTGCCCTCTTGAATAGCATTTCAGCTCCCTACGAATGAACAGCTCTATCCCACATATCCCAAGCCCTGAAGTCAGAGTAAGCAGCAACTACTTCAATCCGTGAAACAAAAGTGTCTCATTTTTATGTCAAATGGGTTTGGGGTTTTTTTTTTTGCAGAAGTGATCTGCAGTACGTGTGACAGGAAACAGCGAACTGCTTGAATCGCTCTTGATTTAAATGAAAACCGATAAATTTCATTCTTACCTTCTCCAATTGAGCTTTTAACTTTCCCTCCTTTAGCAATAATCTCAACCAACCTTAACGTAGTCTCAACTGGGAAACTAATATGCGTCTAAGCTCCGAAAACCCTTCCTTTCCACTGTAGAAAAACTGCAGCATCTTAAAAGCAGTTTGCAGATAAATCATTTCAATTTTAATCAAAGTGCAGTTTATACAGATAGAACTCTGTGATTTATTCGGGATTCCCACCCACCCCCGGCCCCGCGCCTTCTAGATGTGACGCGCGTGCACAAAAAACGGACATAAAGAAAGGCCACACACGCACACACACAAAAAAAACCCATCCACCGGTGCATTAAAAAAAAAACACCTTGATACTGACGTTAATTAAAAATTTAAAAAAAATGTGTTAATGTGAATGCGGTTGTTTGGGTTAAAACCAAAACAAAAGAAGAAGCAACGCCGCCAGGAAAAAAACCGCGCCGCCGCCAGCGCAAGACGCCGGCCTTCCGATCGATAACCTCGGCGCTCCTCGCCTGGGCACGTGGATGGATGAGCGTTGTGATGGCTTAGTAAGGTCTGGCTGGCGGTCTGGTGGAGGAAGGCGCTGAGCTCAAACTACGGAAGCTCGGCAGCGCGGAGGCCTTCAGCCGGCTCTTGAGGTAAGTGGGCTCGGGTTTCGGGGAAAGGGAGGGGGGTGCGGTTTGCCGCTGGGCTCGGGAAAGAGGCGGAGGATTAGGAGAGCTTTCAAAAAAGCCGCTATAGCGCCTCATATTCTGGCTTTCGGGAATATAGGGGACAGAATCCGGTCTGGAAGCCCTATAATATGGGCAATGCCCGAAGCCTTGGCGGTTCGGGCCGTTCCTCCTTCTCGACTGAGGAAATCTGTTTGGAGGGTATCCACGTCCCGGGGTTTCCTAGGGCTCCCTATCTTTTTCCTCCGTCAGCTGAACCGATGGGGAGAGTTGCTGGGCAGGGAGGATGCTGAGGTCGCTCCTTTCCGAAGGGTTGTGAAAAGCCTTCTGGGTACTCAAGGTGGCCCGGAGCCTCCTTTGCTTTCAAAGCAGCGAGCCGGCCTCAGATATTAGGCCTGAATTGGACTGAAGCCTGTTTCCCACCCCACCCAACTTGCCAGAAGCCAGCCCAATTCATCTGGGGTCCAGTTTGGGGAAGGGGAGGAACGGTTTGTGTAAGGTCCGTCCTCCTGCCATTTAAACCTTTTGAATAACCACCATCCCTTGTTTCTCATGCTAGCTTGGCTTTAATTTTACACACAGGCGCGTGTGCGCACACACACACACACACACCTATTTTATGAGAAAAGTCCATAAAGGGTCATCAATAAAAATATATTGTTTCTCTGCTCAAAGATGTCAATTTAGCCATTTCATAAAAGATCCATCATCTTCATCAACTGTTGTGGGTTTATGCCAACAAGACAGTACAACAGTGCCTTTGCAGTTATCCCGTACTGTATAAAAATAAAGTTTCATGCCTTTTTCTCCCTAACAGTTTGTCCATCAGTCCCAAAAGAAAGACCTCTGGCCTCAATTTTCTATTAATCTTTAAAATCAACTGAATCAGTATATGTATTTGAATCTGAAATTTTGTAGCTTTTTCTTACTTGTTCACCAGCTACGGATTATAATATGTACATTTCAATCCTTTCAGCCACATATTTTTCCATTGTTCCATCTGTATATTATAACCAAACCGTTTAGACCACTTCATTGTACACTCTTTCACTTGTTTCAAATTACAAAAAGTTTATACATTTTAGCAATTGCATATACTTCATTTGCACATAATTCTATTTCATTCTTAGAGTACTGAAAAACCACAAACCTTTGTCTGCTTTAAATCTTTCTAATAATTGTAGATATGAAAAATATTGCCAGTTATTTATTTCTGCCGCCAATTCTTGATATATTTTTTTGGTATCCCCCCTTGACAAAGTACTAGTATCTCAGTAAGCTGCCCATTTGGGTTTGCCTATTATTTCTCATCTGTAAAATGTTTCTTGTGCTGACAGCCACAAAGATGTTTTGGGGCACAACTTGGGTTTATATCTATTCCATATTTTCAGTATGACATGTCCAGCATAATGATTTTAAAATCCACATTAACTTTGGCTTTGTTATACCACAACATCCATGCCAAATATCAAGTTGTGTTGCTCTGAGTCTAAGAGCCTTCTATTTCTCAGCAGCACCAACCAAACAAAACCAAGCAGCAAGCTGCAAAATACAATCTCAAATCAGGTAGATGCAATCCTCCTCCTTTCTTTTGCACCTGTAACACCTTGTGGGGTTTTTTTCCCTGCCACACAAATTTAGATATATTTACATATTTTTGTTAACATCTTCAACTTCTGTTTGTTAATCTTAAAATCTGCTAATGCACCAAATTCTTTTAGTTTTCCAGTACTGTTTCTTTTTCTTTTTCTTTTTGTACCTCATAAGGTTTTGCTAGAACTGCATTAACAATTATTTGTGCTTTCTATGAAATGTAAATTGGTCTATCCATTTTATAAAGTTCTGTTGAGCCTAATAGGATTTAAGAGTGTGCAAGCTTACATTCTAAGATCATTTAGTTTATTTCTTGTTTTAAATAAAGGTTACATAGAGCATTGTGTCTTCTCCAAAAGTGTAAAAGTTTGCATGATTATATTTTGGAGAACAGTGTTACTTACGTAGTGACAATAGATAGTAGGTACAGTCTTGGTTTCAATTTTAGACCAATGAGTGGAAATTTAGTAATGATACACTTTTCTATTAATCATACAGTACTTTGTAATTTTTACAGTTTTCTTATATTTGTAAAAACTAGCTTGCTAAAATGGGTCGCCATTCATCAGACACTGAAGAAGAAACTAAAAGCAGAAGAAAAAAGAAACATCGTAGAAGGTCATCTTCAAGCAGTTCCTCAGATAGAAGTTATAGCCATAAAAAATCAGGAAGAAAATCAAGATCACGGTCTCGAGATGTCCAGTTTCGTTCACATTCATATGAAAAAAGGTAAACATATTACTTCAGTTTTAAAATTATTGGTAAATGAAACTTTTAAAATATTCAGGTATAGTTCAGTATTTCATCCTATGGTGTGGTCTGCTAAAAGCGATGTATAAATTGTAGCATTCATATAACTTGTGTCAGTTTATATAATTTGCCTAATTAACTTTTTTTTTAACAAATGGCATCTTTTTAGAGAAAGAACTGACTCCATACAGCTTGTCCTTGCTTACCAACCACTCATTCAACAATCATTCAAAGTTATGATGTCACTGAATAATAAGATAATCAGTCCTTGAAATTTGGCCATTGCAGCCTCCCTATGGTCACATGATTGTGATGTAGGTACTTAGCTTTTTGAAAGCCAGAAAGTGCTGGGACAGAATGAGGTTGGGATGGTTGTTTGCATCAGAGAACGACTAAGGTGTTTGCTTTTTGATAATATAGCTTGCATCTTGCAACAATACCTTTAATTCCATCGAACAATTACATCTCTATATCCCAGGACCCTGGGAAGGACATAATAAATAGATAAAAATGTCAAATTTAATCTAAATATGTCTCTGTGCAAAGAATCTGAAGAAACAAAAGGCCACCTAATTAGACACTGCAAGAGATTCCACAGACTGACTACAAACAACGGTATGACAAAGTAGCCACAATGGTGCATTGGAAGATCTGCAAGAAACTATAAGCAAGAACTGGTGGGACAATAAAATAGAGAAAGTAATAGTAACTTTAACACCATCAAACATCAATATCTGCCTATCCCAGGTTTTTGGGAAGGACTTGATAGGAGGAAAGAAATGCCAAATCCAGTTTAAACATCTGATTGATTGTGGAGCCAACCATAATTTATTAAATTATAGCCAATTATAGTAAATTATAGTCAACTGCCAGTGACTTTGGGTGCTGTTAAAACGTTTAAAAAGAAAGAACAATGCAAAAAACACAAAAAGCAGCACCCAGAGAAAGGTTCTTTTGGAAAATATGTTACTCAAATACAGTAAGAAAATATTTATCACCCAATGTTCTCTAATTTCAGAACGATTTTATCAATAACAAATGTTTAACTTTATATCCTAGAGTGGTGTGTGTGTATGTGTTTATTGCTAGCCAATTCCCTTTGCTTCAGATTTTATAAAAAATCTATTAATATGCCTGCAGTAGCATATTTCCTTGTAGTACACCTCTAATGTTCTAGTAGTAAGCAGTATATGTACACACTGAATTTGTTACATTGTTCTGCAGTCTGAACAGTATATAGTATATACAAGGATACATGCTGTGAATTAATTTGACTCTGAAGCCACATTGTATTCTATATGAAGCATTGATGAAAGTAGTATGAGTCACAGTGGATAATAGTTTTACGTTATAAAGTAAAAAGAGCTTACCGTATTTGCCGGCGTATAAGACGACTTTTTTGCCCCGAAAAACATGCCTCCAAGTGGGGGGGTCGTCTTATACGCCGGTATATCCACTGCCGGCTTTCGGAGGCTTGTTGGACGCAGCGAAGGCGCCTCTGGCTTCCTGGATCCCCTGCGTCGCTTCCGCTTCATCCCGCTCGCCTCGCTCCGCCCGAGGCTGCAGCCTTACTGCTCTTCCCACGGCCCCTGGCACTCTGCCCTGCCGCTGCAGCCCCGGGGATTTCTGGAGGGCGTTTCCGGTGGTGGTGGGGGGTCGTCTTATACGCCGGGTCGTCTTATACGCCGGCAAATACGGTAAATCTTTACAATATTCTTGATTCAGTTTTAATTAGATCTAAGTTTTAAAATTTGGAGGAAAGGTTTACTACTAAGTTTTAACAGTTATTAAACTTTTAATGTCAGGATTTTTTCTTTTTCTTTATTAAAAAACTAACATCCATGAAATGTGCATAGTTTTTTTTTCCCATAGAAGTCCATGTTCAACCTGAAAATTTTGTTATCGGTAGTACCAGTAAGTGGCTAAAAAGATCACTGTACAATAGAGACAATGCTACATCCCTGCATAGTTACTGCAACAGAATGTGCTATTGAGTTTCAAATATATATTTCTTGAGGATATATTGTTTGATACAATTTATAGATCATGCATATCCTTCAAGACTGAGATGTATTAAAGTAAAAATCTTACATTTGTTTTGTTTTTACTTTTAAGTGGTTTATATGTTAATTTTGTAGAATAAAATATCTGAACACAGGATAGAATATGTAAAAAATGAGAAAAAGCATCATTTGATGCTCACTTTTGCTCTGTTAATATGTACAGCAAAGTCACTGTTTTTTCCACCCAGGATATTTGCAAAACTCATGGGTTGCTTTGCTGAGTTAGGTTGTGAGGGGGCATAGTCAGACCTCTGCTGCTTTCTCTGGAGAGTATCACACAAAGTTTAATAATTTTGTTTGCTTTTAATAATTTTTACAAATAAAATATCTCACAATTAGGCCAGTCTGGATGCCAGCACTGATAACTTTGAATGGTTAGATTAGGCTACTTTCAGTTTGTGGCTCCCAAGGACATACAGACGCTGATGAAGTCAATGTATACTGTTGCTTGTCTTCTTGATCCCCTGCACAAGCTTGAAACTTTGATCCCAGGAGTTATAGACAGGCTTGCAAGTTGCAGTCATATCTTCATTCCTAGCTGGGAGGGAAGGAAACTAGATGGTTGCAAGTTCCAGCTGATTAGCATGTGCTACAGCCAGCCACATCTCTCCCTTGGCTGGATGAGTGACTGTAGGGATCCAGCAGGGCTGAATAGGAGGGTGGGGGGTGAGCTCTGTTCTTACAGTCAGTCATAAGGGTGAATAAGTGCAGGGTGCTGTAGTAGCCATACTTTGAATGTATCATAAGTAATTTTTAGAGGTTCTGTCGTAAGTTCAAACAGTCACTAAGTGACCAGTTGTAAATCAAACACTACTGTAGGCTTCTTCTCTAAGTTCACAACTTTCAATTTTTCTATTAGCTATTATTTTTTCTATTGTCCATATATTATAATTTCATTTATTCTGTTTAGTGCTAAAAGTTCATAGGGGCTTCCAGTCAGCATTACAAGTAATCAGTGACTTTTCTTTAATTAAAGCTATCAATTTCACCATTCTAGCCAGCTTCATTAACTTTACTATTCTCTCTTCAATCGTAGGCAATGACAAATCTTTCCAAATCTTGTGCATGTAAAAGTCTTGTTGCTGTTATCATATATAAAAACTAAGTTCCATGAGTTTTTACAACCAAGTGTCCATCACTCCCAAAGGGAAAATCTCTGGTTTCTGTTGTATATTGTCTTTAACATCATCTGAATTAATGTTACATATTTGAATTCAAAAATTTTAACCTTTTTATATACCCACTCAGCATGATAAACTACATTTCTAACATACATTCAAAGTACTTTTATACATTTTAAATAATTCTTCCAGTGACAAATACCAACCTTACATCATTTTATTAAAAATTATCTTTAGATAGTTTATCATTTTATACAAAAAATCTTTTTAAGCTTTTTGAGTTCTCCAAAGGTCTTCTGGAACCTGTATATTGTTTCGATAGGTTGGATTTAGCCTTAGAAAAAAGTTTTAATAACCATTTTTGCTTATTTTATCTATATATTTTGGAGTGTATGTGATTTTTTTTGCCATATTTACTATATTGATTTATGTGATTATGAAAAAAAAAACAATGATCCATTGTAAGTGAGTTTTCTGCATCTATTTGAGGCGAAGGCATCGATCAAGCAGCAGTTCTTCGTATGGGTCCAAAAGAAAACGGAGTCATAGCCGATCAAGAGCACAAGGAAAATCATATCGGTCTCAGAGATCAAGATCAAAAAGCAGGTCAAGAAGGTATGACAGTTTCGCCCTGGAAGAACAATTACCAGATAAAATATTTTTCGCTTTGCACTCCCAAGTCTTAATAACCATTAATTAATGATTTTATGTTAACTTCAAGATTATAAATGTAACAGCAAAAGGTTAAAGTATTTTGACCTTTATGTACTTTTAATGTTGTGGTTTAACTTGGAGTTCCTTTGTCCGTATATATTGTTTAGACTTGATATAAGACCAGTTTTGTTATGATATCTATTATACAAAATACATGGTGATAGCATATATAGATAATATCAGATTAAAAAGTAATCATGTTGCTGGGTATTAATTGCTAGAAAATGTGCTCATTTGAATATTTTGCTTAAGCTAAAGTAAAAAGGACTTACCAATACTCATAAGTAATTTTCATTAAAAAAAATACTTGGAATTTTGTGTGATATCAATGGAGTTATGAAACTGCAAATATTTTGTGAACCTGAAATCCACAATAAATATAGCAAAATAAGGGTACCAAGTAATTTGTATGAAAGCTGAAATTATAAAATCATAATCATATCAAACATCGATGTTCTGCAGAATCATGATCTTTATATTACAATTGTTTCAGAAAAATAGTTAATATATAAAAATAGAAAATTTTATTTGAAAATATGCATTTTATACAGTGATTGGAGATTTAATATTTTATTTTTGTGGCAATACAAATTTATTAAGTACATGTTAAAATACAATAGAGATTATTTTTAATATTAATTATGATGGTAGCATGATGAACCATTTGTTGCAAGAGTGCTGTGATAATACTATAATACTTCAATTTGTATTTAAGTCAGAGCTTGGATTGCCTATTACTAAAAATGGCCCTGGGCATTTGCCCTGAATTTATTTTGTATCATAGGATTGGTGGGATCCAGCTTTTGTATTTAGGACTTCAGTATACTGCTTATTAAAAAGTTATCTATAATTTTATGGAGAAGAAAAATCAAAATAGAGTGCATTCAGATCTTGTGAATGAATGCTTTTAGTTTTATCATTTGGATGAAAATACAATCTTCTGGGCTAATCTAGAATTCCAATGATTGCAGCGCTTGCAAACCTCTTCATTCATACCCATTAGGTATGAATGAAGTAGCTATTTTTATTAGGGTATGGTCTCTCTTGAGACATTGAAATGTAAAAATTTGCAGTATGCATTTCTTTGATTATATGCTACACAGTTTCCAAAGACTCGAATGAGCTTTTAAATAACACAAAACACAAAAATTATTATAAAAAGTATAATAAATCAAGAACTTAACAAATGAAACCATGATGCATCACCATTTGAGGGTAGCAAAATACAGTACCAGGTTTTTCCCAAATGCTTTTCTGAAGGATGCAGATGATTGACTTAGCATATGTTTGCAGTGTTATCACATTTACCGTAATACTACTGCAGCATTAAAGAGAAGTAATGTTCTCATACCTCTGTATCTATTATTAGACATCTGGAAATCCTTCAAAAGTGTACTTTGTATGTCCTCCAGCATGTCCCGAAGCACCTTCTTCAAAAGTGCATCTTTGATAATGGGTCTTATTTCTGAGATGAGTGACTCCTGGTAAGAGAGGCACTCATGGGAACTGAGAAGACTGTGTAAAAGGTGCTTTGTGAACCTGATCTAGACAGCCTTAAACTGAATATTAGAGAAAGGAAAACAAGAGTTTGGAAAACAGTACAATGCAAAGTATGAGAAGAAGCCTGGGAGTGAAAACAAATAGAGGAAAAAGTCAAGCTACAAAACTCAATAAATTTTCTTTGTAAAGCATGAAGGGAAAATAGGAAGAACGAGTCTTAATTCAGGAAGGCAAATACAAGTATTATTGATGGGACAAAACTGTAGAATTGAGGGCTACAACTTAATCAAAATCAATAGGCCAATCAAAAGGGAAGGAGATACAGGCAGACCCCAAGTTAAGAACAAGTTCTGTTCCCTAACTCTGTTTCTAACTTCAATTTGTATTTAAGTCAGAGCTTGGATTGCCTGTTACTAAAAATGGCGGACAGCATTGCCCTTCCTTAAGCCAACAAAGTGCTGAAGCTGCACAGTGCTTCCAGGAACCCCTGAGAACAGGCTGTATATTAAAAACATATGAATTCAGCAGTTCCTGAAAGCACTGTGCAGTTTCAGCACTTTCTCAAAAAAAGAGAACACTTTCTGCAATTTTAAGTAATAGGCAGTCTGCTTGTATGTAGGGATTGTCCATGAAGTGGTCATTCATAACCCAGGGACTGAAATTTTGAGGCTGCCTGGCTCTATAGTGACGCTGGGCAACTTAGACATAAAAATTGAAAGAAAAGTATATGAAAAAAAGAAAAAGATAATGAGAACTAGAAGGCTGGAAACAAAATAACAATCCAAAGAGCAAAAAAAAAAAAAAAATCAAAAGGACTCTGAATAATAGAATTTTTAATGAGGAGAGAAAAAGTAATAATGGAAGATGGTTATTATTTGGTTGTTGGAAAACCAGGTCATCTAGGACTGCAAGATCCTACAAATTGCTCTTTGGTGTCACTAATTGTTTCATTTTCCAAAAGGTTGAAGAAGAGACAAGGGGATTGACTTTCCTAGATATGATCCTAACCATTAGGGAAGAGCTGGTTGAAGAGCTTGGACAAGAGAAGACAGTGGAGAGACACGATAGTTCTTCAAGTATCTAATGAACCATTTTAAATAGGCAGACTTGTTGGGAGAGGACAAGAAAAATGTAGACTTAAATTATATTGAAGTATGTTTTGGTGAGAGGTCAGGGAAAAAAACTGTTATAGCAATTAATTGTATCTAGGAGACTGTATATCCATTTGTGGACTATAAATAGTGGCATATAAGCTGGTTGAATAAGTTAATAAGTGGTCATTTTAAGAATGAATATTAGCAAGTACATAATAAATATCAGTAAAAATTTTGCTGATGTGGAACAAACCTGGTTTGTAGATGCGGAGTTGAACACAGTTGTTTACCAATGTCTTATGTCATTACAAATTGAATAGGTGTGTATTTTCAGCAGATACTTTATCTTGGCCACTTGATATTTTCTATGTCAGTTTTTATACTGTGTTTCTTTTGAAAAATATGTTTTATTTGTTTGAACAAAGCTCTAGTTTTATAAAAGTAAAATAAATTATAAATTGGTCAAAATGATGATATGGTCTTTATAGATTTACTTTTGTGCTGTTTTAAGTTAGATAATTTGTCTTTCCATTCTTACATTACATGTAAATAGCTGGTACATCGATTAACATGTAGTATTAAACACCCAGATTTATCTGCATTTTAGCTATGGTAAATTTAAGAGATTCAGACAATGGAGGGAACAATTTGGGTGTTCACTGAAAAGCCTTTTCTGATAAATATATTATTTTACGTAGAGCCTGTCACATTTCTGAGACTTGCCTAATTTAAAAAATAAATATTCCCATGTTCATATTTAGCCATCAAGAATATTTAAAATAAGTTGTGTTTTTTGTCCTAAAAGTAAATTGGGCTACCTTTCCAAATGGAATTTTATTTTTGAAAGGAGGGAATTTTATATTTAAAGGAAAAAAATAAATTATGTAATCTTTCTATGTTCTCATATCTGGATAGAATTGGCTAAATTTGAGATGGGCAATTTCTGATTCTACAAATGCAGGAAGTTATCTTGTCTTAACAGATTTGGCCAGATAATGGTTTATTTGTTTGGATACAGAACACTGACTTCAGATTAAAAATCACAAGATTTTTCATTTGGTATGTTTTTAAGGAACTCTGTACTGCATTGTCGTATTTTTCTTACAGAAATCAAGATTATAAATTAAGACTAGTAAACTAGTCTGTAAATCATTATCAGACTGTTAACTCCTAATTATTATCTTCTGTGCTTTAAGTATTTTTCCTTTATTCAAAGATGAATGTTTGCACTGCAGTTTTTTATCCTATTTTAAATGCAATCTGAATCAAGAATGAGGTTCTCTATAATACTATAGATTTACAATTGTCTTTCAATAAAACAGGGCTGTGCAAATAATGTAAAATCACAAGCTAAATTTCAGCAGAACTGCCACATTTATATTACATTAATAATTTTAAAATAGATTTAGTTTGTTTTACTGGCATTTGCTTAATAACGTTTTGTTGTTTGCAATCTTTTTAAACACAATAATTCATCTGAGAAATACAGGCACATTGTCAGCAGAAAAATTGAAAGTAACAGCTCACTTTCTGAAACCACAGATATAGGATATAAAAAAAATTCAGCTCTACAAAATTTAATAAATCATCCTATTTCCTAATTTGATCATATTAGATGCTGATGTGGGAGAAGCATTTCAAATGCCATCTCCTCATTAATATACATCAGTCTGGGGAATGGAATAGAATACTTATGTGGAGATGTCACAGTTAGTGTTTCTTAGTTTACTAAGTGGAACAGGTTGATGTGATACTGAGTGCTATTTGTCAATGTCTTGTTAAGATGGTTTGGGTCGAGTTATGGAGTCCAGAAAGACGGTGGCTGATAAATCAAATGTGGATTGAGTGGACAGGAGGCAGTGATTGATACTCTGACAGGATATGAAGAAAGGAATCTTGATACAAGCATGCACAATATTGAATATGAGAAGGAAAATGACCCTAGAGTATGGATATTATTCAAGGAAATGAGATTAAAATACCAGTTTGAAATTATTGCCATGTGAAGATTAGGATGCGGCATTTATTTTTATAATGTTATGGATTTCTTGGATGGTATTACAATTTTGTATATATTATCGATGTGTATGGTCCTGAATTATTCTTGCTAATGTTGCTAATTATTAACTTGTGTTAATTGTGCAAGTTGCATTCTTCATATTCTATGTAAGTTGTATTATTTAATTCTTTGCATTATCAAGGCTTTATTTGAATTAAAGCAACAATGTGGGAGCAATATTAATCTTTTTAAACAATTTAAGCCCCAGTTATAACTTTTATTTAATTGCATCATTTATATACAATATG